CTGGTGGAGGAGATGGGAGAAAGGATTTAAGGAGTTGAGGAAAGAGCCATCTATTTGGATTATTGATGAGAGGCGAGGACAATTCATTCAATGAGCAATGGTCTGTGGAAGATTGAGGAACAGATCTGTGAGTGTTGTGGTACTCAGTTGTAGGGCTTCTCCTAGCAAGACCATCCTCCCTTAGTATCCATAGGGGATTGTTTCCATGACCCCCCAAAGACACCAAAATCCATGAATGCTCAAGTCTCTTATATAAAATGCATCGTATTTGCATATAATTTATATATACCCTTCCATATATTTTAAATCATTTCTAGATTCCCTTAAATACCTAATACAGTATGGATTCTATGTAAATAGGTGTTGTATTGCTTAGGGAATAATAAAGGAAATAAAAGTCTGCTTGTTCAATACAGATGCATTTCTTTCTCTGTGTACTTTTGATCCACGGTTGGTCGAATCAAGGAATGTGGATCCCAGAAATATGGAGGTCCAACTGTAGTTCATGACATGGTTTCAAAATAAAGGGCACAATCCTGGTCTAAGATGAGGAGAGAAAATAACACTCCATGTGTGGGGAAGGATCCTGCTGTTATTGCTGGTCCTGAATCTGTGTTGGAATGACATGAGCATGGTTAAACTCTGGAAGACTCACGTTGAAGGTGAGTAGGTTAAACAAAGAGGTGCACATGGAGAATTTGGAGAAGCAACATGGTGTACAGAAAAAATAAATAGCAGTGTGATTAAAAATCCTCCACTGAATTCCACTTTGTAAAAATGCAAGCCATTTGAGTCTCAATTTACTAATCATTAGTAAGGACAATAAGTCTTCTCACACAGGCTTACTTAAAAGAATTAAGTATATTAACATATATAAAATAGCTAGAACTTGGTGTTAAATTAAAATATTAAATGAATTTTAAAATCTATTGTGCTAGAGCAGTGTTCTATAATTTCAAGTTTTCAGTCACTTTAATTGGACATATTTCTCTTTTTATTTGTTTACTGTTCTTTTATCTCTGGGTTTTAAAGTTTAGAATCTTCCTTTAAACAGGAAATCATAAGAGTTGCTGATAAAAGGGTAATGATCATAAGTGAGCTGTTTCCATAGTGGCTGGTTTCCCAGGTGAGGACTTCCGTAGGCTCAGATCTACTGAACATCTTATTTCAAGTATGCCAAAGAAAGCATGCCTTGGAGGATCCATGGGGAATTCAAGTTGAAGGTTAATGGGTGCATGCAAGTCAGGAGAGTATTCTGTAGTTATTATTCCTTGTTATTCCCCCAAAGCAGCTTTTCATGTCCTCTGAATATAACAAAAGTATATGCTTAAGTCTCTTATATAAAATGCATCATATTTGCATATAATTTATATATACCCTTCCATATATTAAATCAGTTCTAGATTCCTTTAAATGCCTAGTATAATATGAATTCTATGTAAATAGATGTTGTATTGTTCAATACAGTCTGCTTGTTCAATACAGATATTAATGCTCCTATGTCTCCCAAATCAGTCTTAACAACAATGCTTGTCATCAGCAATCCCACTTTATCTTTGGTACTGCATGGCTTCTCTTGCCTCAGCTAGCTTTGCTGCAGCCATCTCAGGGTTATATGCAAGATTCAGCAAGGAAGCCAGTTCATTACCCCATCACCCCCCATCACTCCCATCCCTAGTTCTAACATTTGACTGATTTCGAATAAATCAACGTGTTGGCCCGATAGGATTTTTTAATTGGAAATGAATAAAGATAATGTAACTGATCAAGTGCAGTTGGCAGCCAGTGGAAAAACAAACTCTTACAGACAAGGAGTGACCTTCTCTCTGTCTTAGGAACAGCATTTTGGGTGGAAATCCTAGATTTAAAAAATAGTGGATATCAACCACCCCACCCCACCCTTTTTCTATCCTGTGCTGAAACTAGAAATAACCTTGGGAGCACTGGAGAGCTTTTTCTATTTCAGAAGCTCAGCAAATGTGCACATGATAAGGCTTGATCAGGTTGTGGCAGCAAGAGAAGAAAATCAGTGTTTCCAGAGCACCTATAAGTCGCTGTCCCTGCCCTAACTTCTGCAGTTGGTATCGTAACTAGATGAAAAAAGAAAGAAACAACCAGATCTCCTGCAGATTCTTCTGGTCAGAGGGTGGGGATCAGAGAAGGAGAGACCTATTTACAGTGCTTTTTTCTTACAAGGACTGGTCTTCCCTAAGAATTGGATTATGTTGAAAAGAAAAACTGCCACTGTGAAGCTTTGAGTTCTTTGAGCTTATATAAAGGGGACCCAAAGTAAATGCCATGTATTGGCAGAGTGATTTCACACACTCTGAAAATGCCCACATCTGAGGGGTGTACGGGGTGAGAAGCAGACCGCTCTGTGCTGTCCCAGGAATGCAAACCATTGTAGAGGAGAAAGGTGATGGTAGAAGAAATCCAAGAGATAGAAGTTCACCTGTGCTTAAGGAAGCCACAGTCAGGGAGAAATCTTCACAGAGGAAGGCCAGCTGACATTGTGTTGTTGTTATTGTGGTCTGGTTTTTAATTGAAGTAATGGCTTTCACCATGCCGTCACCCAGAGTCTTCAGAAGAATCTTCTCTGTGCAGTTAGAACACTTGTCAGGGTAGAACTTTGGAATAACAAAGCAATTGGGTATGGGGGATGGATAGAGTGAACAGGAACAGAATGAAGGATCCGCATTGTAGAAATCAAGAATCAGGAAGTTGGTCAGGTATTCAGAGGAAGAGGGACTTGAGAGCAAGAGGAAGCCAAAACAGACAGAGGCCCAAGACTCCAGGGTGTGGGGACACAGGTGAAGGGGGGCATTGAGTTTCCTACCGAGTGTAGGAATGCATTGAAGACTCCAGTGCAAGGTGATGTAGAACTGGGTACCTGTAGGAGTAGCCAGATGGGTAATGCACAGCTAAATTATCAATGCCCTTTAACTGAGATCAAAAACTATCTACCTGATTCATACAACTAGTAGGGAACATGCACAATTAAGAAGCAAATTGAAAAGGATAAGTTATACTATTCACCTTGACAAGATATTCAGGGCTGAATAGTGCCAAACATGGAGGGAATCTAACTTTTTTTCAAATGAATTCCAGAGCAGAAAAACATGACTCACAAACAAGAATATCCTTTAAAAGCATCTTTTTATTCACTATAAGAATATAATCTGCATGTCTATACAATCCATCATGCAAAAATCATGGTAGGCATTTTATAAGCAGTTCAGACTCTCAATATCTGTATGTTTGCCCAACTAAAATATTAACAAAGGTTGAAAAACAACATCTTAGGAGAAAGGAATGCAGAAGGAACCAACTCTCTTCCTCAGCCACATGACTTCCAACATCAAGAAGAACAGCCAAGAAAGCACAGCCACACTGAAGTCTGAAACCTGAGTCCAAAGGGACTGAGAGATATGGAGCATCACCAAGGATGCCTCCTCTTTGGGTATCCAAAGAGCTCTGCACAGCCAGCACTAAAGCATCTGTAGACAAACAGGTAGGAATTAACCTAATACAGGTGGAAGAGACACTGTCAGCCTGCAAAAGGGTCTTCTTACCCACACACCAAGCAGGGAGCTGAGAATAACAATCGCCTCCCTTAATGAAAAGTCACAGTGATTTTTCTGCTTGTACAGCAATTAAATTTCCCCGAAACACCATCAGGAAGCACATTATAAATAAATTGCTCAATAGCATGATGGTCACTAAACTCTGGAGCTTGCTCAACTTGGATAGCTGCAGTTTAGAAATGAATGTGGGTGAGGACAGGACAAAGTGACACTAAACCCTTGACAATCAAGTCCTGCAGGTTGTGGCTATGGAGGACTGCTCCTTCTTTGTGGGACTGTCCTGGAGCATTTGTCCCGCCTATTCAATGCTCTTAGCTACTTCTTTTGTGCAAATATTATCCACCAGTTTTAGAGATAGCAATCTGAAACCTACAACGTTGTTCATTAATCTCCATCACAAAAGGCAGAGTGTGTATTATGATTCTCATTTTCTAGTTAAGCAAACTGAAGCTTTTTAAAAAATATGCCATTAGACCAGGGATCTGAAATGAGGCGGAACAGAATGGAAATCTCATCAACAGCAAACCTAGATTTGTCTGTTGAAGCAGGCCATTTCTGAGGGAGCAAAAGTTAACTGTGGTCTTGAACCTTTCCTTGCCATTTCTGTGATTTTATTCCCAAAGCAAAAACTCTAGGGAAAAACACAGAAAAAGCTAAAAATGCCACCTTGAAGAGAGGTGAGATATAAAGGCCCCTATTCCACCAGCAGCTCTGAGAGCAACTGGGGTCCAAAAGGGCTTCATCATGTGGTTTGTCAGGAAGGAATCTTCAGACTCAAGGAGAAAACTATGGAAATAAGAAATTAAAGCTACATTCACCATTTTACACCTACCTGTCCCAGGACTACAAAACCAAACTGACATCTCTAGTGCTAAATCTCAAATATGAAGTCTTTAAGGCCTGGGAATGCTACTGATTTCTAGTGTTTTCTACTGTGGTATAAATAGAGGATTTTTTTTTAAAGGAGCCAAATTCACCCACTGAAAAGTCTCAAATCCTTGAAAAAAACACTGAGACTACTGGGCATGAGACATGCGATCAGAAATCAGAAAGACCTTTTTATTATCATTTTTTTAAACCTGGATCTATTTTGTAAAGTCTGAATTCCAAAATGTGCATGAACACAACAATTCATGGGTCTTTTTGCTCTAAGATTATTACATTCAGAAACACAAATTTTGTTTTGAGAGCAATTTACTTTGAAATTTACATATTTGCTTTAATTTTACATGTAAATATTTCAATTTTAAATAAAGATAGTTAAAATTGAAAAGGCATTTTAGAAATGCATTTATTAATTATGAAGAATATTAAGCCAGTATATTTATTGAGGCAAGTCAACTCTTAGAGATGAAAACAGTGGCAGGGGGAGGAATTTCATCCCCCTGCACCCCATGAACAGGAGCTATCATTCCATTGGTCCAACTTAGACTCTGAAAGACCCAAACAATAAAAACCACACATAACAACCTGCTTACTAGTTTGTTGCTACATCTGGATTGATCCCACATCTAATGATTGAGGAGTCTACTGGAGAATGAAAGTGCGAACAGCTTCATTTTGCCTTGTTGGAGTCATCCTTCACAGAGCCAGCCCCAACGACTCCCACGGGTCTGGGAAGCCTGTCCTGCTGTGGCCGGTGAGGGCAGAGAAGCAGACACGTGGCCCTTCTTCACTCCCTCTCCTCTTCCTCTTGACCTACTTTCTGTTCCAATTATGTGAGATGTTCTGAATCTTTTTCATTTTGATCCTCTGATCCAGCATCTTGTATCTTGCAGGATGCTCATCAGTTTTCTTTGGAACTGAGGGTACGTAGGAACTGGACGCATAAGCAGGGCGTTTAAAATGGCGCAAAGGAGGCTTGATGACTGGAGGCCATGGAAAGGAAGACAGATAGTCATTAACCTCAACAATGATATGGCAGGACCTAAATATTGGGGCAACTTTCCTTTTGACTTTTCTTTTTAACCTTTAAGAAAAGAAACAGTTGTATTCTTATGGAACTTATTGAATATAGATGAATAAGCACATTATCAACTTGATCATTGGCTTAAAGTACATAAAGGCAGGAAATTCCTAGAGAGAGATAGTGCTGACCCTATACATAAAGGTTCCCTGACAATGAATGGATGAGGTTAAGGATGTGAGAGGGCACACTGAGATCACTATTGGGAATAGCACAACAAACACTGGTGGGCAGAATCCTACCATAGACAGCATGTAATATTACATATAAGCTTTTAGGGTTGCAAAGTCAGTCCCAAAGGGCTACTTGTAAGTTCCTCATTAAGAAAATATTTGCAAAATGCAAATAAAGGTTATACACACACACACACACACACACACACACACACATTAAAGCTTCACCAAAGGAAACAACTCAGTTTAAACAGGGGCAAAAGATCAGAATAGAATTCTCACCAAAGAAGATACATATGTCAAATAAACACAGGAAAAGATGCTCAACAAATTTGTCACCAAGGAATTGTAAATTAAAAATACAATGATATTCTACTACATATCTACATAAAGTTAAAATTTAAAAAGTTGACAATATCAATTGTTTGCAAGGATCTAGAGCAACAAGGACCCTCTTCCTCATGGGGATGCAAAATAGTACAGCCACTTTGAAAGACTGACAGTTTCTTATGAAGCTAGACATAGTCTTATGTGATACAGCAATTGTGCTCCCAGGAGTTTACCCAATTGACTGAAAATTGTCCACAATAAAAACCGGCATATGAAGTTTTGTGAAAACTTTATTCACAAGTGCCCCAACCTGGAAACAACCAAAATCTCCTCCAACAGGTGAATGGATAAAGAAATTGTAGTACATTCATACCATGGAATCTTATTGAATGATAAAAAGAAACACATTATCAAACCACACAAAGGCAAGAATGAATTTTAAATGTACATTGCTAAGTGAAAGAAGTCATTCTGAAAAAGCAATCTACCAGACAAACCCATTTATGTGAAGTTCATGAAAGGACAAAACTATAGGGATGTTGAGATTAGAGACTTCCAGGGGATCAGAGGAAGGATTGAACAGGTGAAACAGAGGATTTTTAGGGCATTGAAACTATTACATATGATATCCTAGTGATAGGTACATGACACATATTTGTCAAAACTCATAGAATTTTATAGAACAAGGAGAGATTTTATTTTTTAAAATAAAAGCTATTTAGTAAGTTCTGAGAATGCCAGAATGGAATTCAAAATGTAGCAAAACAATCTGAATGTGTTGCAAATGCAGGAAACAGTCTCACTGTAGAGGGTGGAAGACAAAATGCTTACCAAAGTAAATTTTGATATGAGCAGAATCTGTAAAACCACAGAGGAGAGAAGCTGTACACCTGCACTGTGTTTGTTGATAAAGTTGCTCCCCACATAGGTACAGGTGAACAATTCTAATGCCACTCTGCATGTGTCTGGAATCAAACAATTATGTCAGTGGAGAGCAGAAGGTGAGAACTATTGGTATAATTTAAACTATTGGTTTATAGATAGGCAACAAGGAGACTAGAATGATACATGTACTATTGGATTAGACTTGAAGACATGAATGTGACCTCATTTAGCTTAACAGTGTCATAAACATATCTATAGAAATATGTACTCACATGGGCTAGTACACACATTTTCTTCCTGTATCATTTTAAAAGTCCTAGAAGAAATGATGTAGCTACAGACCTAGTAGCAACAAACATGCCTGTCACGTAGATCTTGATTTCTAACATCATTCTCCAGTAAAAGGAACCAGAGCGCCTTGCAAAAATGCCTCCTTCTAGGACTAGAACAAAAACTATCAAAGATAGACTGGGAGAATATTTTAGAGCCATAAAATTAAAAGGCGCTCAAGACCAAACAAACCATGGTAGAAAAAAATAAGAGTTCTAAATGAAAATCTACCAAATTGTACAAGTCAGAATAATTTGAGCACCAAAATAGGTAAGGCAGTACCAGATCATAACTCAAAGTATAAAATAAACATCCATAAGTCTTTACTGACATAAATGATTGGATAAATAAATAATTATGAGAGAACAGACAAATCTCTTAGGCAGATTTTCAAATAAATTATGTGGATATACTACTCACAACAAGAGGACCCCTTAGTGTGGGCAGGACTTTATTATATCCTCCCAAAGAACATGGTCTAGAAAGGAGACAATGGAGTAGTTTTTCAGTGAAAAAATCCAATAAACACGACCCCATTCAGGAGACTGATGTTGACATCAATAGGAATAAGTGATGTTGGTAGTATGCATCTTTGGACTTATGAAATGGAAATTAATATTTTGTGATGAAAATGGAACTTTACCTCTGAAAATACATAATCCCATTTTAATAATGAGAAAATATCAGGTCAATCCCAACCGAGGGATATACCACAAAATACCTGACTGGTATTCCTCAAGCAGTCAAGGTCATAAAAAAGGAGAAGTTTGAGAAACTGTCCAAGCCAAGAGGAGCCTAGAGAGACATGATGACTAAATGTAATATGTTATCCTGGACAGGATTTCAGAACAGGAAAAAAAAGACACAGGTAACAGTGAGGGAAATGTGAATAAAGTATGCACTTCAGAAAATAATAATAGAAGTAGTAATACTAGTAAAATAATATATATCATCTAACCTACAGTTCTATAAAAATAAAAAAAATTAAAAAAAATAAAAAGTAGGGATTGATTCTTTCCTCCCAGCACCTCTAGTCTCCTATCTCCCTTTCCCATATCTGCTGAAAAGTGTTTGGTCAGTGAATAAAGGTTAAAAAAAAAAAAAAAAACTGTCAAATTATCACTAAAGAACAAGTGGAGCTGGCACTGAGCCACCGCTCCCAAAACCAGCTCTCCCTGGAGCCATTGCACTCTCAACTGAAAAACCAGCAAAGGAGAGAGAGAGAGAGAGAGAGAGAGAGAGAGAGAGAGAGAGAGAGAGACAGACAGACAGACAGAGACAGAGACAGGTGGGTCAGCTTGAAGGGTAAGGCTGGGTACACATCTGTGAAATTACAGACAGAGGCTACCTTTGAAAAACACCAGCTCTTCTGCGTATCTCTGCCAATAATAGGAACAGGCTTTGTGTTTATGATGAACAGAAAATTAGACACAACTTAAATATTCAATCATAGGGAATTAAGTTCTGGTATATTCTTAAAACATACTACTGTGACATCATGGAAAGACGACATAGAAGTCTACTAACAAAAATAGATGTTCAGGTAATACTGTAATGGGAAAAAAAACAGTGTATACAATCTAATCTCATTACTGTAAAATATATAAATATGTGTGCCCAGGAAAATCTGAAAGAACAGCCATTTACATCATAGCAGTGGTTATCTCTGAGTAGCCTAAACATGCTATTTCATTAGGTTTGTTTATTGGGGCTTATCCTTTCTGATTTTTCCATGGTGGCCGGGTTTTAGTGATATAGCTTTTTAAAAAGAAATACACTATTAAAATTTCTCCTATAGAATCAGGAATCACGACGATTGTACAAAATCATACCTAATGGGAAGTCAGTAAAACTGAGTTCACTGTGGGCTTTTGCACTAGATGGCTGAGAACCCATAGCTGAGTGAGCTTTTTTTTTGCATTCTACAGATTAATATTTATTCATTGATTTCTTAGAGCACCTACTGTATGCTGCTGATGTAACAGTGAACAAAAGACAGAAATCCCTGCCCTCATGGAGGGCACCCTAGGAAACTTTTTAGCTGGTTTTCAGAAGAAAAATGTGCCCAGGTTTAAGTGCTCATTAATGCCAACATTGCCTTTTGAGTTATCCTAATGTTGTAAAGACTGTCAGCAAAGGGTCCTATTGTGACAAAATAATATAAATTCTTCCATAATAATATAGAAGAACATAGTTATTTTTAAGATCTTAGAGTGTGTAATTTTGTTTCTTAGGGTAAACAAGGGATTACAGCACCAAACACTATGAGAACAAATATAAAAACTGTCTTGCTACCCTGGAGAATGGAGCAGAGATAGGAGAGGATTTCAGATCAAGAGCAAATGGCTGGAAAGGTCTGGGCTAGCTGATTTATCACCCTTCCAGTTAGCGTCCCTATCCACTTCATTCTATTTTTGCAACTCAGCGTGAACCCAGCCAAAGTATTATTGAATTTCCCACTTCTCAGCAGGAAGAAACATTCACCATTTGCTGGAATTCTGATTGTCAGAACAAAAACTCCTTACCACTGGAGTGGCTGCAAATAGAGTTGGGCCTGCTGATAGAGTTCGGCTCCCCGCTGAGGCCCTGGAAATACTTGTATGCCTGCTGTCACCCTCACTCAAAGTGTGAGAAAAGGGACATTTCATACAGAGCTGTTTTGTATGCATTCATTGCCTTTCCCCTCTGCAGGGGATCGTGATTGGATGACAGGGCACAAGAGCAGTAGCAGGTGTCAGGGCACCATCTGGGGTGCTAGGGTGGCCTCCTGAGGGTGTTTCATTCATCTTCTGGCTATTCCTGAGATTTAAAAAGAGGTCTGACCCTCCTTTCAGTAATTGGGCCCTTCCACAACTGAACCCACTGATAGTACAACCTCTTTTCCTTGGTGGAGAAGAACTGAGAGGGAACAAAGCTCTTCCCACTCATATGCTTAATTACCAGCAAGTTGGACACTTTTTACCCTTGGGGACACATTTGAAAAAAATCTCCTCTCCCCTCTTAGAGCAATTTACTTGGAGAAAATGATCTAATCAGCTAATGAAGGTTTTGACAAAGGCACATAATTCTGCACAGAGCCCCAAGTTTGGAAAGTCATTATCTGTATTACTTTTAATCGCACTTAGGAAAAGTTCAAGACAGAAATGGACACATCACCATTCTTGATCTCACAATTAACCATAAT